TGCTCGGAAGGACGCCGGGACCGCTCAGATCTCTAATCGGGGATATCCAACACGTTGGATTTTTTTGGCCCCATTTCTCCTCGTGGACAAACGAGCCTGTGGAGGCTACTTGTCCGGTTGGGCAAGTAAAATTCTCTTTTACTTGTCCCTTCAAAAAATCCACTTGTCCCGGACAAGCGGACAAGCGTTAATGTCGAGCCCTGTAGTATGGTGCAGGGACAGTTACATGTGCAGTCGACATTGTTGAGGGTTTTAAGGCCTGTTCACACTGGGACCGACGTTTAACGCCTCGTGACTAAACTAAGGGCGCCAATGTGAGTGTGCGCACCGACACGAAAAACGCCACGCGTAAAAGCGTAATTTTTTAAAAAACGCCTCGGGTTCGTTTTTTTAGTTTGACACGCCGCGTCAAAAACTATCCGACCAATGAGATTGGCGCTTTTGCTCACGTGTCTGGAGCTTCTGAATTTACAGTAAAACACAACTTGGGGGCGCTCAAACACAACACGGTCTTGCCGAGCACACATACGTAACGGCGAAGAAGATATACGCCAAGTAGCGTCTACACTGCCGGGAAGAAATAAGACGAGGAAGATGCAAGGCAAGATGAATGTAGAGCTGCTGGTCTCGTTGGTGTCGGAACATAAAGAACTATATGACAAACACGACAGCGACTACAAAAATCTTGATAAAAGAGAATGTTATGGATATGGAGTGGTATTGCAGAGCAAATGGGCACTAATGTCAGGGAATGAATTTGCATGTTCACTCGGCTCATCGTCAGCGAAAATCGCTTGGGTGTGAACACAAAAAAACACGTTGAAAAACGCTGACGAATAACGCGCGCCAATATTGTTGTTTTTTTATATTGTTGTATGTTTTTTTCATCTGATCTTTTGTCCCCACCACTTTTCAACACAAACTGATGCCCCTCATTTGGAGTTAAGAGAACGTCACTTAAGTCATTCCTAAAAAAGGAAGATGTGTTCGGAGTTTTGACGACCGGATGCGGCAAAATTTTAATATACCAACTAGCTGGTTCACTGGTGGAAAAACGCACAGGACTCACTCAGCCACAACCGTTCGTTGCTCTGGTTGGTTGTAGCGCTGTCCTATTGCGTGCCGAGGGATATTGAAAGACAACCGTTTATCCCGCCCCTCGGATTGAGGTATGCCAATTGTGAGTTCCCAGACCTAACATCTTGATGTAGGTCTGGCTTGTCAGGCTAATCTTTATGCTAATTTTCTCATAATATTCACTGCAGCATCAGCTCTTTTCTCTCAGTGTCTAAAACAGTTTGATCAAGGATTCGGTCTCTCTAAACTCAGCCTCTTTGAGAGCTGCTCTGCTCTGATTGGTCAGATGGCCCAGTCTGCTGTGATTGGTCGGCCGCTTACAGGGGCACTTTAAATTATCTGATAATTCGCTTAACAACCTTGTCTGTGCAAAGTTAGCCTTCACACAGCCCCGTCATAATCATTATAAGCCAGTAAAACTTTACGATTCAAACAATAGACAAGGATACTGGAAAGGGATGCAACGTAACTAACCAAACTAACTACATATCTAACATAACATAAAATGGCAACATAACTAAAAGCACTCCACTCACAGGAATTACACCAATAATGCATAACCAGAAAAGTCCCGCCTCAAAAAGGATGATTTACACATAAATGACACTGCTTTACACATTTAATATAAGAACTTCAATTCAATAATATACTGCATTTCTTAAAAAACTGAAGACATTTCTCTACTTCATGCTACACAACCAAACAGATCCAGATGTTGCAGATCTTCCTGCACATCTGGATTTGACATAAAATATAACAAAAATCAAAGTTCAAAAACAAGGATTTCTCTAATCAAACAGAACAGTTGTTTTCTTAGACCAGGGGTAGGCAAGTTCGGTCCTAGAGAGCCACTGTCCTGCAGAATTTAGTTCCAACCCTAATCAAACACACCTGAACAAGCTAATCAATGTCTTCAGGATTACTAAGGCTATAGGCAGGAGAGGTTTTTTTCAGTGTTGGAGCCAAACTCTGCTGGACAGCGGCTCTCTAGGACCGAACTTGCCTACCCCTGTCTTAGACTGTCATCTTTCTTAAGGCTTTGCTTTATAAAATGACGAAGGCTCTGGTTTTGTCTATGCAGTGATTCTGAGCATCACAGATCAAAAGCCTCATTCCTAGAAGCACTTTGATAAAGTTTCCTCACGAAACACTGCAGGGTAAAGGAGAAACAGATGGACGATGATGATCGGGTTACAGAAGTGTCCAGCTGTGCTGTTTAGGTAAAAAAAAAATATATATATAAAGAAAGAGAGAGAAATATAAGAGAGTAAATGTGTTTGAGACACTGAAAATCTGCTTGTAAACAAACCTTGTAAATCACCTAACACTAGTTTACACCATTTGTTAGAGTTTCAGCATGGCAGGTTAATCTCTCTCTCTCTCTCTCTCTCTCTCTCTCTCTCTCTCTCTCTCTCTCTCTCTCTCTCTCTCTCTCTCTCTCTCTCTCTCTCTCTCTCTCTCTCTCTCTCTCTCTCTCTCTCTCTCTCTCTCTCTCTCTCTCTCTCTCTCTCTCTCTCTCTCTCTCTCTCTCACTCTCTCTCACTCTCTCTCTCTCACACACACACACACACACACACACACACACACACACACACACACACACACACACACACACACACACACACACAGGTATGAAAAAGAACAGCATGAAAATCTGGTAAACATCACTGATGAGATGAAAAGTCAAATAGGGTTGGAGTGACATAAGGATGAGTAAATGATGAGAGAATATTCAAAACACACACATATAATCTTTGGATTAGTGCTGGTCTCACAGGCATTCACTGAAATTATACTGGGGCTGGAAACACGATTTACTATGTGGATGTTTTATAAAACTATGATGGCGGGATTACTGCTTTTATTTGTGAAGTAAAGACATGAAACAAGATGCTTGAGAGAGAGAGAGAGAGAGAGAGAGAGAGAGAGAGAGAGAGAGAATATGAGAGATTGTGTGTGTGAATGAAGAAGATTTTTTCACTTCTAAACATATTTTTTCAGTATAACTCAACTTTGTGTTTTTTTGATTTAGCTATTGCTCACACAGGATAAGATCTGAACAAACACCTACGTCTTAACCTAGGGTATGAAACTCGTCCTGAACTGCACATTTTATGTGGACAACATCACAAATATCTAGTCTGTGCTCGTCTGGTTTTGTGTGGTGTGTGAGCGGCCTCCTGTATCAGACATCTCTGCTCCACACGGGCCAGTGTTTGAGACGGGCTTTGATCAGACTCCTATAGTTCAGACTCTTTCATTTATGAGCATCAGATAAATGTTAAAACATGACAGAGATCTGCTTTCCCACACTAGATCTCTCTCGCGGTTTTCTTCATCCCTCATCTGTCTATCCGTCTAATTTCCACACAGTAAAGCATGAAGGCACTGAACTGTTGCTAACTCTTTATCTTTATTCAATAATCACGGAGAAGCACATAAGGACTCTATTATCCACACTGATATTCAGTGTCCTTGATGTTATCCGTGTCATTTTCCAGACTAACTGGCAAAACCAGAATTCATTCAATGTTCATTTTGCTTAATGTCTGGCCAGAATCATCGGTCTTATTCTGTGGCATGTTGAGTTGAAGTCAACATGAAATCAAAATAAACAAGTTTGACTTTCTTAATACATGTTTTTGGTCTTATTGTGCATGATGTCTGTTGTTATAGTCCTTCAAAATCTAAATGTTTCATCACAAGCTTCCTCTGCTTCTGTAACTTCCAATTGCTCTTATTTTTCAACCTTTATTCATTCATTTGTCAAGGCAAAAATTAAGACCTGTCCTATATTTTTGTTCTCAATAAATATTCTGTTTCACTAAATTCTGTTATTGAACTAAAATGATCCCTTATTGAAACAAAGCTGAAAAAAATAAAACGTGAATAGGAAATTGGAACTTAGAAAATAGAATAGACTTAGAAAATAGAAATAGAAAAATGAAACTTCAACTTAAATGACTAAAATTACTAAAACTGAAATAAGCTAAAATTAAACTAAATAGAAATATTTTTAAAACTAATAAATTACATAAATTGTAACAAATTACATTTAAAACTGAAAAAAAGCTACTTCAATAAATTAATAAAAAATAGTAGACTGACAGATGTAGACAGACAGACAGACAGACAGACAGACAGACAGACAGACAGACAGACAGACAGATAGATAGACAGATAGATAGATAGATAGATAGATAGATAGATAGATAGATAGATAGATAGATAGATAGATAGATAGATAGATAGATAGATAGATAGATAGATAGATAGATAGATAGATAGATAGATAGATAGATAGATAGATAGATAGATAGATAGATAGATAGATAGATAGATAGATAGATAGATGGCACAAAAACATGTGGTTGGTGACTGTATGTCAAACACACAGTCTGTTCCTCTGGGCGGGTCTTCACCAGAATAAACTGCAAAGTAGAGCAAACTTTATGCTGATTAAAAGTCTGGCTCCATGAGACTGTGTGTGTGTGTGTGTGTGTGTGTGTATGTGTGTGTTGGACATTCCTTCTAAGAAACCATCAGTGTTTTTCATTCGTCAGTCTCCTCTTGAGAGCGTCTGTGAATAATATTCAGGTGTTTGTGTATCTACACATTCCAAGAGTCACTCGTCCTCTCTTTCTGCCGCTCCCTCTCTCTGAAGTGTTTAAACGAGAAGAAAATCAACTGTACAAAGGAAATGAAAAAATTCAGGGAGGCTTTTAGTGGTCTCTTTGTTTGACCGTGTGTGTGTGTGTGTGTGTGTGTGAAGGGAGGTCCTGATTTGCCACTGAGAAAAGTATGAAAAGCCTTCAGGGGGATTTCCTCTGAAAGAAAGACCTCCTCCTCCTCTTCTCCGACCCTTTACTCGCTCTCGCTCTCGCTCTCTCTCTCGCTCTCTCTCTCTCTCAAACACTTTACAGTCAAGACAAAACGGTGCACGACAGACCGCTTGACACTTAGCATTTCTCAGCAGACGTCGTACTCTTGTACAAACTTGCAATAATAACTTACTAAACAATGGCTGTAATCCACCGCAGTCCAAATCTACCTCACTTTACAAACCGGACACCATGGAAGCACCTCTGGATGTAAGACATCATGGGAACGCTGCCATTACACCTCCAGAACTAAACTGGGAACTTTTCTTTGTTGGAGAGACAGACTTTAGGATGACAACTCAGTAGCCGAGATTCTGTCGTCAAGATGGTAAATAAGACTCGTTCATTTCAGTTTTTACACACATCGTCTGTGTTGTTGTGCCACTGACCCACTGAACTGCTGATAACTGGAGAACTGAGCTGATGGGGTTGTGGGTGACCTTTAGGGGCATTAACATTCATTCATTAACATTCATTAACATTCATTCACAGCATATCACAAAATGACCTTTTCACACTAAGAAAATCAGTTTCTGCAAAAGCTTCTTCAACCTAACAGGAAAACGTTCTCAGGACTTTCACTGTAAAAAAGGGATCAGTTGACTTAACTTAAAAAAGTGAGTAAATAAACCATGCGTAATTGAAAAAATTAAGTTATGTGAACTTAACAATTCCACATGGCATAACTTAATTTTTCAATATGTATGAAGTTTGTTTACTTAATATTTTTAAGGCAATGAGTTTCCTCACTTTTTTAAAGTTAGTTAAGTCAACTGATTACCTTTTACTTAACTTTAACTTCATTTTTTATTACTTTAACGTTCTGGCAAGGTTCTCTCAAGATTATGAACAAACGTTCACCGAGTATTAGAAATAGAATTTTAGTTGAAAATGTTTAATAATATTTTAAAAATGTAACCACAGAAACATTTATACATCGTACATTTTTCATGAAACGTTTTTTAAATGTTATTACTTGTTTCGGAATGTTCCTTAACGTTCGTATAACCAAGAATTTGTTTATTTTATTTTTTTTGAACATTCAGAAATAACGTTTTCATGCGTAGTGGGAACATTAGCAAACCGTTCTCAGAACTTATTTTTGTAACAACTAAAACTCGATAAAATGAACATGTCGAAGTTTCAACAATTAGTTACAAACAATATATTCTGGAAATAACTTGACCTTAAAGTTGTGTCCAAAACTGACTTTCGTTTTTGCATTCAATCGATTCTAGCATTGGTGTCACAATGTCTAATAGTAGAATAATATTAAGTTATAATATGTCATTTCCAGATTTGTTGGCAGATTTCTGCACTACACAGTGTGAGCTTCTCAACTACATGACCCAGTTTCAGCGTTTGGTTTGTTATGCCTCTCTGAATGACTGATGGTGTTTGGCTGAGAGCCGAACAACCTCCACAAGCGTTATGTTGTGTTTTATTTGAGAAAGGCAGGTGTGTTTAATCTCTGATGCTGCCATCATTTACACAGTGACAGGTACAGGAGAGCAGAGCGAGGTGTGTTTTAGGGCAAGTTTGTGGATTCACACAAACCTTTGGAGTTCATGCCTATGAATCTGCAGCGCATATAAAACACTCCTTTAGATTATAATATCAGTTATATTCATCTATCAGTTCACCAGTGTGTTCCATCATGTGCTGATTTTCTGCTATTTGTTTGTTACTCTGCCAAAAGGAACCATTGTTATTAGAAAGGCCAGCTCCATTGATTAAACGTTTCACGACTGGCATTCAATGAGCTTTGAGATTAAATGATGATATACTACTGTTCAAAAGTTTTTTTTTTTTTTTTTAATTGATCATTGATAACTGAAATGATTGATTTCAAATAAATATGCATCACAGTTTCCACAAAAATATGAATCAGCACAACTGTTTTCAACATTGATAATAATCATAAATGAGCAGCAAATCATCATTTTAGAGTGATTTCTGAAGGATCACTGAAGACTGGAGTAATGATGCTGAAAATTCAGCTTTGATCACAGGAATAAATTACACTTTACTATATATTCACATAGAAAACAGTTATTTTAAATTGTAATAATATTTCACAATATTACTGTTTTTACTGTATTTTTTAACAAACAATTGCAGCCTTGGTGAGCTGAAGAGACTTTTAAAAACCTTTAAAAACTTTTGAACGTTAGTGTAGCTGAAGTGTGAGTTCAAAAATTGTAATGTAAAAATTTCCAAAGAAAACTACGTACAAAGTCTTGTATCAAGACTGGTGAAAAATTGAGCATAGATCAAGTCACTGACTGAAACTCATTGAAATACCAGTAAATGCCTCCCTAATTTTTGTTGTGCCATATTTTCTTATGTCAAAGTAAAGGGTGAGCGTGCTGAATAAAATTCCCTCACCAGTGACGGTGCATTTTTAAACATTACAGTAATACATGGGTTAAAATAACTACGATAAATACAAACATAGATGTGTTCATGTGACTTGACAGGTTATAATGTATACATCCAAAAGTGTTGGGACTTGCTGTGAGATGATTGGAGCGTGGAGAAGCTGCTCACCTGCACACTTGTTTCCTTGTGCAGTGGTTAAACTGACCGTTCGACAGCTGCGCTCACTATTAGACCAAACTCTCTCATTCACACACATAAACAACAGTCATGCTGTGCTCGGGCCCGTTAGCACCTCTCAGACACATCGACAACACACACACACACGTCATGGGATTAGTGTTAAACTTAGATTCCGGTGTTGTCTGCCACATTAAGTCTTTTAAAAAACGTAGTGAAATGCTTTGCCGTCTACTTTCCACCGATTTCAACATAGAAACGTAAAGTTTATTTTTTATTTTTTATGTACATCTTAAATAAATCTTAAATAAAAAGAAAAGAAATGTAAAGGATATCCGCATTAAAATATCCAAAAAACCACTAGAACAATTTTATATATTTTGTTGACTTGTGTACTTACTAGGGGTGTAACGGTTCACAAAATTCATGGTTCGGTTCGATACGATACAGTGGTGACACGCGGTTCGGTATGTTTTCGATACAGCAAAAAGAAAGAAATGCCAGAGAAATTTCCTTGATTTTTAAATGTTTTATTTATTTATTAAAACTAACATCATAAAGTATGATGTTTTTTTTATTTGAACAATGATGGAGCTATACTTGACTCTTCTTAGCAGCATATAAAACAAAAACAGCTCCTTATAAAAAAGATTAAATGTAATATTGTACTAGTTACAGGCTAAACAAAGGTTTATTTTAAGTTTGCAAGGCACCAGATTAACATTTGAGGGCAGCAATTTTAATGTATAATGTCGAAATAATAACAGAGAAATGTGAATGCTTCTCACTAGATCAGCCTTTCTCAAACTTTTTTCAGTCAGGGCACCTTTCAAAAGTGCATAAAATCTCAAGGCACCCCAGTGTAAAATATAATTTAAAAACACTGCATAACCCAAATGTAAATGCAAATGTCCTGTTTATTTAGACAGAACAGTAATGAACAGAGCATAATACGAACTGTAAATAATAATAACAATTTTATAGCACCTTTTGGTATATTGTGGTCAATAAAAAAAAATATTTGCTTATAATTAACATGACAATGTGTACAAAACTAAAGTGGGCTAAATTCACGTTTATTTTTACGTTTCTGTCAGTCTGAGGTGTTGTTGCTATAACGCGTTGCTATGGGTTGCCGCTGCGTCACTTGCGTCAAGTTGTGTGTGTCTTGCTTCGGTCTTGTGAGACGGATTTTTATGGTTAATTTTATATACCGTATTTTCCGCACTATAAGGCGAACTTAAAAGCCTTTAATTTTCTCAAAAAACGACAGTGCGCCTTATAATTCGGAGCGCCTTATACATGGATGGTGAACAGTGGCGTCATGCCCATTCAAAGTGAGGGGGCACGTGCCCCCTCAGATTTTTCCTCCCTGATAATTTTTTATTTCTTCAGTCTTGTTATAATCAGATTCAGCGCGTTGTTCATCTTCAATCCGCAGCGGTGCCGAGCAGAGCGCACGTCAGAAACAGAGGACAGTGTGTGTGTGTGTGTGTGTGCGTGCGTGTTCATCTGAGCCTCATTGGTCTGTCACTGCTCGTCAATGTCAGAATATTTGAGATGACCAATCAAATCAAAGTAGGCGGGCTTTATGTTCACAGAAGCTGAGCGCGAATTTTAGCAGTGAGACTCGACGCTTCAGTGTACAGTCAAGTGCGAGATGTAAGCAGCTAAACTAAACATTTCATATTTGACAGTTTTTTTAGTTCATAAACGTTAAACGAATGACAAAAATAATCGGGCACACGAATATACTTTTGTCTAATTTCGCCATTTTGAGCTGAAAATAGGCCTATGTAACATGACTCGTAATGTAGGCTAATAATTAGTTTACTGTCATTGTGAGGGGAAAAGACGTTTTCATTGTTAGGCACAAGATTAATAATGAATGTGTACATATTGAGAATTAATATAGTACAATTTGTAGCCTTAAGTAAATTAAAAAAGCTCAGCTTTAGGAGGGGAAGGCAAGATCAGGAGACTGAGAGAAAAAGAAAGAGTGATGGATAAGAAGTGAGAGCAGGTATTGACAAATAATCTGCCCACTGACATGGTTTTAAAGCTATTTCTTATCCTTTTTTTGGCCTTCAAACGTCTTGAAATGCACATATCAGAGAAATAAAAAATTTGAACCCCCTACCCACCTCAAATTTAGGACCTCTGTGATTATAAAGCCCTGTCTACGGCCCTGTATTAGGCATAAGATCAATAATGAATGTGTACTGTGAATGAATTTAATAAACTTAGTTAGGCTACCTAGCTTTCCTAGTAGCTTTCAGTAAATAAATTCGTCTGAGAAAATGATTCATAAATCAACCTATCAGTTGACCCTATGTTTACTTTCTTCACTGACAGACAAAAATGAAAAGCCTATCAGTCAAAGCTCAACTTTAGGAGTTTTTTTGGCCTTCAAAACATCTTATAATGCACATATAAGATACACATATACTTTAACTTAGTCCTCAGATAGAGGAGGGATGCTGCCAGCTCCGTTAAGGTATTTCTGTCCCTCCCAAACTGCATTGAAATAGTATGTTTCGCAGCCAGAATTAAAAAAATTTCAGGGGGAGAAACCCCCTGACCCCTCCTAACATGATCCATATCACCCGTCAGAAAACAATTGCAACGTCTCAGATTGTGCCCCCCCAGAATTTTGGCTTGCATGACGCCCCTGATGGTGAACACACGTTCACCAAGACGGGGAGACAGCGCCGGGCGACTTACGCCACTATCTGCCAACCCAGACAGCAAGCCAACATTGAATAAACA